AGAGAGAGAGAGAGAGAGAGAGAGAGAGAGAGAGGGGTAGAGAGAGAATACGTAGAGGACGCACAAGAGAGAAATTTTTGGTTTTTCAAAAATCGAAATTGACCTGATTTTGGTTTTTGAGAAATCGAAAATGGATAGTTTCATCTTTTTTTTTTTTAAATTGTTATGATGTCCAAAAAACGGACATATCAGTAATAACGGAAAGTATTCGGTATTTTGGTAATAATGGAAACTAAAACGGATATTTACATAATTTTCCCTAAAAATATGTGTGATGGATAAGGGTACCTCGCTTAAACGAAGAATGGCAATGCCATGGAAGTTTGAAGAAGTTACAAACTTTTATAAAAGATAACTCGTATGGGTTGCGATCAGTGAGATGGCTTTTGTCCAATAATCTAAGTTTACTTGTTCAATTTTATTTTTATTTTTATGAAGAAAAAAGAGTGGGTCCTCCAAGTGAGCTGGGGATTTGGGTTAAACCAAGTTGGTTCTGGGTAGGCTCGTCAATTCTTGGAACCATAGGTTTGAAAATTGAAGAGTCCACCCAAAGCTCCTTGGAGTTGTCTTTTGGTGGACTTTTTTGAGTAACTCGTTGCACATAAAACCTAGGCGATTGGTTGCAAGTTATTACATCCTAACTCCTGAGCAAGCGGATCTTGCATGCACTATTGGGACTAAAATAGAGGTCCTATTCCATATGTGCCGTATGGAGTTGAACCCACTTTTCATCTAGCATGTTTCTTTCTCTTGATATCATTATGCTTATCATTGTGATATCAAGGGCCATACCTTTAGTGAGGCTATAAGTCCCCATATCATTACTCACTACTTCTAACCATATCGTTTTGAGCCTACCTTTTGCTCTTTTTGAGCCTTCCTAACTCGCACCTCCTAACAGGTGTTGTATTAGGTTTGTGCTGCACATGGCCAGTCCACCTAAGTCTACTTTCTCTCATCTTATCGTCTATTGGAGCCACACCTAAGTTCTCTCATATGTATTCATTCCGAATTCTATCATTTCTTGTCTTGCCACTCATCCACCTCAAAATTCTTCTTCTTAATAAGTTAGTTTTCATGTATCAAAACATTGATGCATATGCATTTGCATGCGTTGCTTACTATGTGTAGGTCTTCGCATTGAAACTATCATCAATGTCAATTCTCTTTGATCATTACCTTTTAACGGAGATTGCTTGGTTTGGGTGCAAAAGAGAAGTCCTTTGGTGTGTTGGGCGACTGGGGGAAAGTCTCAGGACAATATTTTCTTAAAAAAAATGTTTTGAAAAAATCATCAAAAACAATTAGATATTTTTCCAAGGAGGGCTGAATTGGCCAAATAATTTGCATGAGGCAGGTTGAAGAGGGTTTAATTGGTCCTGCTTCAGGTTGGTGATTGCTCTACTTTGGATTGGGGGCTGAAGCTGAAGGGTTCAGCCACGTCGGCTGAAGCATAGCATTGCAACGTAGCCATCATTTTTCCTTTTTTTTTTCCGTCTATAATGTTATAGTGTAATTATGTTAATAGAAATAACTGTCACTTTTTTTTGTTGATTGCTAGTGACTTCCTTGTAGCAATAGAATGATCATTCTGGTTAGCGAGGACTATGTATGTTCTGCATTTATTTATTTCCTGTGGGTGATTGTAAAACACAGTGTTACAAACTTATAGCTGGAGAGTGACCATCAGAATATAACTTAATCTTTACGTAAAGTGTTGCATTTGGAGTGGTTCTGCCTTAGAAGTTAGGATCTATAATTGTGTGGGGAGTAGGAACTTAATTGGGTTTGGCAATCTAGAAGTAGTCACAAACAATTGCAGGAGAAATAATGTAAGAATTGGCATACGTAAAAGCAAGAGACCATCCTAGAATGAGAATACAGCTTCTAAAACTAGTATGCCTTTTAGAATGGATATTGACATGGCATGTTGTGCTTAAATTAAATGCTTTTGTTAGTTCCACGATGCGTTTTGTTTTTTTTTTCGATCAGTGCTTTGGTGCTGTTATTGGAACTTTATTTCTTGGACTCACACAGCAGGATTAGAGTATTTATATGCCATTTGGAGGCTGCTCAACCATTTTATGTTGCCCCCAATCTGCTTCACCCTGGTTGATGACATTGGTAGGGAGTGAGTTTCCTGTATGGATTCACTCAATTATCTTAAGGTTGTCCCTCTGGCGGGGGGGATGTGCTTCGAATAGCATGCTACTAATAATGATTGAAGGTTTCTTCTGTAAAGTTTGCTTTCCCCTGGAATTTATCCTTGGGCTATTGTGCTTGGGACTTTTTCAAGTCTTAATGTATGTGACAGTTCCCTAGATTAATCTAGTGCTAAGAATGACGTGGGAGTTGCATTTGTGGAGAGGCTGTCTTTTCTGCTCATTCCATGGAGAACGTAGAGTAACTGCAGTGTGTAATTCTCATAAGAAGTATGGTATTGTGGCTTGTATGTTTAGATCTATAATTGGGCATTCTAAGGAAAAATTTATATAAGGTTGGAACCTTATACTATAGAAGTATGGTGCGCTTCAAAAATTCAATAAAAAAGAGTGTTCTGAAGCTAGAAAACCTTCCAATTGATCATCTTGACTTCGGGATGTATGAATATAAATTAAAAAAGAATTTCAAATCCTAAAAATAGTTCATCATCGTCATCTTCTAGGAATCGGGCTTGGGTCAAGACGGTAGCAGCTGGGTTTTCATAGCACTATGGCTCAAGTTCCATTCCTATGTAACTTTCTCAAAAAAAAAAAAAAAATCATCTTGTAACAAGTTATTATCTAGACAATCTATTTTCAAAATTTTCAGGTGTTTATAGATCTGCACCATTTTTGAAATTTTAAATTTCGTTAGTTAGGGTTGAACATGGGTTTCTAGCCATTGTAAGGTGTCTGACAAAAGAACTACATATTGTGAGAAAATTTAGAGGTGCACCTTACTTATATTGTATAAGGTGGGCTCCTTCTACAAACCTCACCCTTCTCATAGTAGCAATTACTTGCGTGTAATCCAAGGTTTCTTCAGTTGACTTAAATGATGATTTTATGGATATTTCAACACTTTTATGGGGAATGTTTTCTAGTCTTATTTTATTCTTATTTATTATTTGCAGGCAAATAGGCATACTATTATTTTGATGCAGACAGCACAGAATAGAGCAACTCGGACATTTATGGATTATGACTCTATAAGTCAAGCTATGGATGGTATACCATTTTTTATGTTTTCACTACAAGTATAGCCTGTCTTTTATCTAGCAAAGCATGATACTTTTCTGTTACTTGAGCAAACCGTAATTTTTAGAGTAACATTAGATGTTGTGATGTGAAACGAAGTGCGTCTTTGCTAGATTAATATGATACAAAACTGCGAGTATTTGTTTTTTAACCATTGGAAGAGTATTTCATCTTACATTTGATAGGGGAATCTAAAAATGTGGCCGCTGGATTTTGAATATTACATTTGTAAAATCGGTGCCTTAGAACATCTGAACATTGGAGAGAGTGCTATGTTAATGACTGAAAAAAAAAAATTGGAGAAAGTGCTCTAAACAAAGAAATTGACAAGCCCTCAACCCATGGTTCTGTCCCTTGCTGCATTCATAGTTGGGGATTTGCAAAGCAGGAGCACCGTCTCATAATGGCCATAAAAAGCGATCTAGTTCAAATTTTTACATTAGACACATGTAGGGTGGCTTGGCTAAAAATAGTTGAGTCTGAAAGGCCTGGCAAAGGGCAAGGTGACCCGGCCAGCCTGGTTGGCCTAGCCCTAAAAAACTAGGGCCTGGGCTACCACGGCTTGAGGGCTAGGCTTGGGCCTGAGCCACGACAAGGCCACCGAAGTTCAGCCTGGTCTATCCTTTTTTTTTTCTTACTATTGTTTTCTTCAATTGTATATGTATTTGGCCTGGCCTGGCCTGGCCTGGCCTTGACAAGGATAGGGCTAGGCTTGGGCCTGGGCCAAGCCTTCTGCATACTGGGTAGGGCAGGGCTTGTGCTGGCCCCTATAGAACCTAGGGCCGGCTAGTGTCAAGATTGGCTGAGCTCAGGCCCGGCCCAATGCGAGCCTAAAGTCTGAGTCAGGGCCTTACATTCTTTTGCCTAAGGATATCACCCTGACGTCATCTTTATTACACTAACCATTGGTTACTGTATGCCTGAGACCTTGCCATGATTAGGCAAGACCAGTTTTCCATTCCAAATAGGCTGGTGACTGGGAATGCAGGCAGATGTATGCGTTGCAAGTTTATACTATCGCAGAACTCCTTAAATATATATTATAATATATTATATATTGTATTTTATAATTATTCTATTAATAAATATTTTTATTATATATCATATTATAAATATCTATTATATAAATAAAATATACAATATAATTATATTACATAAGCATATATACTAGGGGGAATATCCTCATACCCCTATTTTTTATTTTCATATCTCAATAGACCAAAAGATTCAAAATATATCTCCTAACCCCCTAATTAACTTTATCCACTTTTAACTATTTTTTTCGCCTTAACCAATATAAAAAGGACATGCTTATTCTATACCTTTCCTCTCTTTACGTGCTATATTCCCCTCAAATTTTTCTCTCTCTAACATTCACCCTCTTTCTCTCTAACGGTAGAGAGAGAGTGATAGACACAGGGGAGAGAGTGGGAAAATAGGTAGAGAGAGATTTAGGGAAAAATCATGTGAAGCGAGAGAAAGGATGGTGTTTAGAAAGGATATGTCTTTCTTATATTTGTTTGGGGCAAAAAAATATGTTTAAAGGGGATAAAGTAAGCTCAGGAGGTTAAATGATATAAAACTTAGAATTTTTATGACCTAAGATATGTTTTGAAACCTTGGGTCTATTGAGATATAAAACTTAAAAATAGGGGTATAGAGATATTTTCCCTATATATTATATGATACAAATATATTAATAATTTAATTATAAATATATAATATATATTATAATATATTACATAGTGTATTTTACATTTATTCTATTAATATGTATTTTTATTATATATAATATTATAGATATCTATTATATAAATAAAATATAATATATAATAAAATATATTATATATTATACAATAAAATATAAAACATATTATATAACATAATATAATATATAGGGTAGTGATTTTATGCAATGGTTGTATAGTAATATAATGCAACAACCTTCAAAAACCATGTTATGACCATTTGTTTGATACAAAATTTGAAATATACACTCTTTTCATTCTAATGAACAATCACAAAAAAGAAAAATTTGAAAACCCAACCTAGAAAGTACTTTTTTAGCCCAATTAACATAGGCCGTTCATTTTGGTGAAATGCTTAGATTTAGGCCTTAGAAGTATTTTTTCATTTCCAATTTTTTTGGATGGATTTATTATCATTAGATGAACAATATTAAAAATGAATAAAATGATTTTGAGTTTATGAATGCTAAGATTGACCAAATGAATGGTCTAGATTCGTTTTTGGAGGGGACTTATTTTGACCATATCTAGGGTTCAAATTGATTTTTGTTTTTTTTGGGATTGATTATTGAAATGAAGAGAGTGTGTGTGCAAAATTTTGAGTCATACAAATACCACAAACATGGTTTTCTAGATATGTCGTTGCATTATACTATAGTACAACCGTTACATGAAATCACTGCCCTAATATATAATATAGTGTATTTTATATTTATTTTATTGATATATATTTGTATTTTATATATTATATTATATAATAAATTATTTGTATTATATTATATTATTTTTTATATAAGAATAGGGTTTGAGGAACCAAGTTCCTATTTTAAGTTCCATCATTTTAGATAGAACTTTTTTTCTTAAACACAAGGGAATAAGGAAGTTCTAGGTGGAACTTCTTTATTGTACAAGTTCCATGTATCATACACGAAACTTGTACAGTATTGGGGAAGTTCCTTCTTCCACTCCTAACTTCCTGTTATCAAACATGCTCTCAGAGTTGGCCATTGGGCCTCAACAATAACCCTGAAACAAGTCCATCGCAAAGTCAAATTACTCAATGCAAGTAATGATCATTTACTTCTCCTATTTTGGGAGAGAAGGAATTGATCCATAGGCTGGAGACACCTTCTTCGGGTCCCACATTCATCACGAAGTTGTAAGACCTCATAAAAAAGCCTCCAAGGCAATCGTGCTACCAAACCCAATAAAAGACCACAGGCTTGGAAGATGGAAATATTTTGTAATTTGTAACATATCTAATACCTCTTTGGCTTAATCCCTCCACTATTACATTGTGACTAGGAACTGGCTATAGGATCTGTCAATCCTGGCACTCAAAGCATGGGCTTGGGCAGTTCCCAAACTCATGGCTACTGCATATAGTTGTAATAGGGGTGATACTATTCTACTCGTTGTTCAAACTTTTTTATTTGTGTTTATTTGTTTTTTTTTGTTTTTCCTTTATCAGCTAATGTTTTGCTCAATCATAATGTTGTACTTATTTATTTGAATAAGAATTACTGTTTCATATTTTGGATGCATTTGACTCTACTTGGGATGTAAAAGGATGGAGGTGAACCTGTTCAAACGATGGTAGTCAATGCGCTTGTGGCCATTGCATGTACCTCTACTCTCAGCCTTCATATTGACCCTAAAATAGCCTCCTTCCATCATTAGAGTTGACTCCAGGAAGGTTAATCACGATCCACACTATCCTTTTTCTGATTAGTCACTGTTGAGGAGTTGTTGCGGAAGTGCTGCTGTAGTTTGATAGTCCTATTTTCACAGGGTTTGAAATTTTGCGCCCTGTGTATTATGATGTTTATATTAAAAAACTGACTGAACTGAAAAGAAATGGGTAGAGATAAACACAAGAATCACTTGTCTTTCTTGTTATATTGTATAAGTTGAAAACATTACATAATACAAATGTAGGTTTGTGTGTAGAGGAGCATTAACTGTATTATAAACCTTCTCCTCTAAATTTGCTGTTGGCTCAAGGGAAAGTGCGAGCTAAGGGCGCAACCTTCTTGACCCTAACATGGGTCGTCATGGATTCATATAAGCTTGACAAGAGTTTATACTTATAAAGGCTTTATGTCGCTGCTGCTCATGTTAGTGTGTGAAAAGTGAGCGAGTCAAGTGCCTGAGTAAGTTGCCCACCTAGTTTTCATTTCAGTTCTTGTTAGGTGAGAGAACCTGGGGTATGGCCTGGGCGTGAGAAATCATGCTCTGTGCAAGCATCTCTTGCCTTTCATGCGTAGTCATTGATGCTGTAGTGTCGATTGGAAGGCTTCTGTACTCATGAGACCGTTGGTTTGGTGGGTGGGTGTGAAAATCGTGAGTATCCATTTAATATTGTACATACACGTCCTTCATTAGAGTGGAAATTCGAGGGTTACCCTCAAATATGAGGGCGTTCTGTCTATGTGACTCTAGTGGCTGGAGCAATTTCTACCAAACGCGTTCCAGTTAAGGATCCCATGGGTTCAATGTAGATATGAAGCATGCAATGCTTGGGTGCCATGGAGCAGATGGTGCATATGGGTCATTTCACAACAGTTTGGCAATTATTGAGGCCCTTACTTGCTGTTATGTGACCAATGTTCCCCAGCTTCTCCTTTCGACTTTGTTGCTAAGTTTCTGCAGATGTGATATGACATATGCATATACCATTAGTTTTTTCTAGTGTGGAAATTTTGTTACTATGTATGAAGGATCAACATTTCTTTTTGGAATAGTGAAGAATCAACATTTGTTTGGGTACACGGGCTTGTTTTTCAAAGTGAATTCTATGGGCTTCATAAATGAAAGAATGATATAATTATGTACATCATGCATTTTGTCTATTGTGGGAATTCTTTTTTAAGTATAAACATGTTTTTATTTTTGTTAGGATATATAAAATATCAGCTTATGGTTGGGTAGGTGTGCTTGTTCAATGTCACTTCATAAGCGGCATGTCGTATGCATAAAATTCCAGTACATGGAGGTGAATGAAACCCTCCAAAGGGCTGCTTTACTTCAATCAATACTTGTGGCTATAGTTTTTGTAAGGTTCAAGAGGCATTTGATATAAGTCTGTTTATGTGAACAGTGTTAGCATTACCTTCCCTCAAAAGGATTCAAAATGTCCAGCTTAAAAAATTGTTCCCTTCGGAAAGTGTATCTTTGACTTTTGAGTAACCTGAACCTTATACGGGTAATTTGAGAAGCTACGAAGCCCTGAATATTAATTGACAACATGGGCAGATTTGTGGGCAATGTTTATTTTGATTAATTATAAAATGGTGGTGAACAGAATTGGGCTGTTTTACAAAAGACCATGTCATAAATAACATGATTGTGGTAGTAGAGAGAAGGCAAAGAAGGTAGAGAGTGGTTCAAGTAAAGGCCCGTTTAAGTATTAGTTTTCTTTGTTTTATTTCTATGGCTGGGTTTTTCCTTCATGGTTTTGTATGTTGCCATCTTCAGGAATTTGTGGATTGTATGAAAGGAAACTGAAAGAGTTGAATCCAGCCATGCGAAACATCCAGTATGATATTACAGATCTCTACAATTTTATCGATGGTCTTGCTGACCTCAGTGCCTTGGTGTATGCTCTCTCTCTCTCTCTCTCTCTCTCTTCTCTCTCTCCTGGTTTTTGCTCATCTTAGTGGCTCTAAGCATTTGGCAAAAGGAAGAGCGTCCGAGGGGAAATATATCTGCTTTAGAATACTGAGGCATGGATATTGGCCATGTTTGCAGCTTTGACCACTCGATCCAGGCATATCTCCCATATGATCGGCAGTGGATTAAACAGCGGACATTTCAGCATCTCAAGAAGCTGGCATCTCATTAAAGACCTAATTCGTATCTTTTGCAACATGTTAATGAAGCTTATTGCAGCAAAGTAAGAAGGAAAAGACTCAAAAAGTAAAAGTGATATGGAAGCTCTGTATTTTCTGGTTGTGCATTGTAAATTAAGTGTTTGAAATGTAGCTTGTGTGCTTTCATTGTATTCAGTGCCCAATTATGAATTACTATTGTGGATCTGTAATTCGTAAATGGTTGGTGAGTATGAGGTCCCCTTTTGCTTGAAAATTTGAAAAGTGGCAATGGAGATGTGGTTAAATGGGTTCTATTTGGTTGCAATGTGACTCTTTTGCTTGAAAAGTTTAAAAAAGTGGCAATGAAGATATGATTACATGGGTTTTATTTGGTTCAATGAGTACATATGAGGGTGTTCGGATGGATATGCATATCAACGGTCGAGATCTCAGATGGGAATGTATCTCTTTCTTATCTTTGCTGAAAGCTGGTTGTCTGGGAAGTGATAAAAAACTATGAACTGCTGTATTACAATTATTTGGGCCGTCTCACTTGTTCATTAAATGTTTCAGATAGAATGGAATATCGTCTGCGAGTTGAACAATTTTTGGTAAAGGGAACATGTATATTATTGAAGCATTTTTTTTCTTGTAAACAGTATTTTAGTAGCTTCTCAACTGTCTGATTTTTTACTTTTTTTTAAGAAACATTAACAATTTTATTGCTACCTATATGATCACCTTACAACATTACATTTGCCAACCGGCTCTCACATCAAACAGAAAAACTAAAATTTATAGATGTCACAACACAACTACTAAACTAGCAATACACTCCTGATTTTGCTAAAGCATCCGCCATCATATTGCACTCCCTATATATATGACCAAAAAAGTGTATTCCATATCAACGCAACAGTCTTACCACTTATTGAATCAAGCTATATAACTTTCATGGATATTCAAACCCCTTATCTATCCATTTGATAATATTCAATGAATCCCTTTCTATTAATACTGGCTTATTAAACCGTTTTACTAGTTTAACACCTTCAAATAGCACTCTTAATATTTTTTTTTTATAGAAAGTTCATTAAATTTTATTGCTTTAGAATGAAATTACAGATTCCGAAACGGATACATCAAAAAGAGTGGTACCACCTTTGGTAAGGAAATCTGTCAAGGCATTCACTTCCCTATAAACGTGAACTAAGGAAACAAAGAGGGAAGCAGATAAATCCAAGATTTGCAACAACAATGGTTTCAATTTCTACAAGCGAAGTTGTTCTTCTTGCACCATAATATCACATTAAGAGAATCCCCTTCTAGAATGAACTCGTGCCCCAATTTTCTATCCACAATAATATGCAGACCAAAAAGAAGCGCAGAGAGTTAATAGTAGATGGTTAATGGTGGATGGTTGAGATGTATTGTTTGAATACTCAAGTTTGTCTCATAGAGGAAGATTTGCAGTTCGATTGACTTTGCAGAGATAACACACCTCCACTGTTGCTGACATTGGAGCATAGTAGCGATGCCAGCATTACTAAATACTATTTTAGTACACTTTCCAGGTCAAAACGTGCGTTAAATATAGAACCAGTGGGAACAGGGTGAGTCCGACAGGCCTTTACATGCGGTCCATCACCCACCAATTCCAAACTAGCTTCGGCAGTTCCAATCCGGCTCACTACTTACTAAGACTGGGCATCAAACTTCTATTTGAAATAAACGGTGGAATGTGCTAGGCACATGTGCAAAGTAAAAACATATTACTAGCATTTTTTGGGAATTTAGTCAATCTGTTACAAGAATTTCCTTTCTCAAATGCCCTTAGGCCCCAATTACTTTGGAGCTGAACCAAACTTTAAAAATTTCATTTCAGGCATGCATAAGAGAAAAACAAAGAAACCCTCGTTGGAAATGTCAAAAGACTTTTCTTTTTCAAAAACGAAAACTCAAGTAACTTCTGTCCCTTATTTGGATCACCTCTCTTTCTCTCTCTCATGACCATGTGCTTTACACAAAATAAATCGTCATGGAATTCCATGAGATAATTTATGAACTTCTGCAAGAAATACAAATCTTCAATATTCAATTGGGGCTTATTAATTCAAATCTTCTGATTCAGATGGGTAACCATCAAATGGTACTGATTGGCAGTGATGCTAGGGTTGGCATGGGGCTTCCCACCAAAAAGGCCTTAATGAGTCTGAGGGCTAATCTAGGCTTGTGGAGAGCAACTTCATGGCCAGCTCCCCTCACTGTTACAAAAGTGAGTCCTTTGTACACTTGGGTCCATCCTCCCACCTGATCAATCCAATGCATTTTCCTTTCAATTTCTAATGCTGACGCTCAGAGAGAGAGACCTTCTAATAGTGTAGAAGGGAAATATTACATTATATACCTGTCCATTGTCATACCAAGCATGCCAAGGAGTCACTGTAGGGAGCCTAAGAGCATCTATGTTGTATCTAGTGGATGTAACTGGGATTATGGCATCGGTGTCCCCACTGTCACAGTAAAAGTAAATAGCGGAAAGAAAAAAAAATTAATCCAAAAAAAAGTAGAGAAAACAAGACTACGAATATTATCCCATGGTTCTAAATTTCGACTTTTATTTCAAACATGAAAGATACGTCATGATGTCTACAGCAAGAAGAGGAGAGAAGATCAAAAGACACACCTGAACATCCAGATACGAAGTCCTTCATGTATGAGCTCATGGTAGATAGGAAGAATGGACTTCACAGAGTCCCTCCAATTAACACCAACTACATCACTGCAATGTTAAATGCAAGGAGAAAATGGTAAAAGCCCAGGAAAACAATCCAACGAAGCAGATTTAAACGCATACATAGGGTACCTCGAAGTTGTTTTATGTCATCACATCAAGAAGAGGAAAACAAAAAAGGAGCAAAATGAAATGCATACTAGGTACCTACTCACATTTTAGCGGGTACCCTTTCTACCCCGCTTTCTACAATGACTCCTATTGTCTTTCTAATTTATCCGCCATTTTATAGGGGCTTGAGAAAATAGTGATCTCAAATACACTTAGATGTTATAAAAGGGTCTCTTCAGTTTGAGAATCCCTAGAGAAAAGCAGTGGATCATCTAAGGTGCTAAATTTTCTCAAGCGTGGAAAACCATTTTCGATGGCTTGCCCCTCTATGGTGCTTGTTTTGATGAAGGTCTCAGACCTTGGAACCCAATCTATTGTCCCTCTTTAAAAGAAAAAAAATGACCGGTTGGCTTGGGTCGCTTTTGGGCCACCTTAAAACCATTTGCAACATGCCTTTTTTTGACTCCTCTACTAATGATTTGATTAAATGGTATTAGATTACGTAAACAAGAACAAGAGAGGAGCTCTCTAGAGATGCCAAAAAGAGAAACACCTTAGAGGTCCAATTGACAAGACTAAGAAAGATTCAGATGATAAGTTTACGTTTTTTTTGCTTTGGAAGAAGGCTCATTCAGATATGTTTACTAATCCATGCTCTTGACCAATTTTGAATATGCATAGGAGGAAAGGATATAGGAAAAGATGGAAAAATATATGCATTACCAACTCATTTGGACACTTTGCTCTTGCTTACATTGGATACACTCGTGCAGTTTCACCTCAATTCAGACAATTTCAATAAATATAGGCAACAGTTACTGGTCTTCAAAGATACTAAGAGTTTGATTTTCGATTCTAATAGTGCAAACAACTCTTGCACCTCAAAAAGATTATGGCAACTCTCTCAAAAACAATTGTGCTTATAACCTCTGAGTCCTCACGCTTCGTGATAATTGTGTGCTTCCTTTGAGCAAAACAATACATTTTTGAAGTTTTAAACGTAATTACGTGATCAGGTGATCATTATTGTCAAAGCCTTTTCTCAACTAATTGGGATCGGCTACACGAATCTCGGTCCACCATTCTGCTCTATTAGGGGCTATACTTTCTTTCTGGGGAATGCCCTTAGCATAAACAGATATTGCAGGTTCATGATTCATGATAAGTTTTGACAAAGTTTTATTTTGGCTGTCTACCTAAGACAACCTAGCTCCTTACCCGGGATGGGTTAAGGGAAAGTTTAAGGTCCTCACCCTTCTTAGACCTGGTCAAGTGATTTTCAGAGAGAAACTTATTTCCCATAAATCAAATCTTGAAGATTAAACCTTAAAGTTTTGAGATTTGATTGCGAACAAACCTGCATGTTTTCCACTTAGATGGTGCAAATGCAGGATTGACATGAAGCGCCTTCTGTACCTCTGGTTGATTGAAGTAGACAGTGGAGTGCTTCTCAGTACATGGATCATACTGTTCACCAATGCGTCCAAAAGACTGTAATCAAATTACGACCTTCTGTCAAAAGTCATGTATAGACTTGAATTTTTCATTTTGTATTTTTAAATATTTGAAAAATTTATTGGTTCATAAGTACCGCCATCAAGGAAGTCAACCGTAGAGACTAACAGAAAATAAGTTTTGATTCATCAGTTATTAGAAAGTAACAATCTTCATCAGGTTCATCGCATCACAAGGTCCAAAGTCGATTCAGTAGATGAAAGAAGAACAAGTGTTTCAGGTTCATTCTTCATGCATAACAACTAAGATGGAAGAGTTATTCTTATGTCTGATTCTGTTTAGAGTAAAACCCAATTTAAACAGATTAATGAAGTAGTTACTAGCCTATAATGCATGAATGCATTAAGTTTGGGTTTTATTAGTAAATAATTTACTAATGTTTAGCTCATTATATACATAATTTACTTAATTACAATTACTGATCAAAACTGATGAACCCAACTCAATCCTGGAAAAAAGTGGTTTCTAGTTGTAATAAATAACATATATTACCCACATTCGATTTGCTTCGTAGCTTGTTGGACAAGGTGCTGTTGCCCTGGCAGGTAATGGTGAAGACGCTATATGGATCAATACCCCCAAGTTCTTCATAAGCTTGATCGATCACCTTATCGCATTGAGAAGAAGGGTGCACAAATGACTGGAAGTCACAAAAAACATTTAGCAGCGTGTAGGTTTCATCGGATATCAAACCAGCAGACCACATAAACTCGAAAACCCCGTAATGGTCATGGAAATCATCAGTTAGGGCATTTCCAACCTGCATCATGAAAATATATCATCAAATTTCTTGGTTTATAACAAACTTGCATATTTAAATTCTTATCTTTTGATCTCTATTACTTTAAGTGGTGAATGAGCATTACCATGTAACCCTTTAAATTGATATAGTTATCCACATTTTTCTTGTTAGACCTCACAATGGCTTGAGCCAATTGCGGAACATAGTGCCCTACAACAGGAAAATTTTGTTATTTATTAAAAAAACACACAAGATCAACAGAAAAATTGTCAAAGAAATTGTGAAATACATGAGATATTTTTCTATAAGATGAAAAATACATGAAAAAGTACTGATGATTATCTGTCTCTAGTCAAATCAGCACTCACCTGCATAACTCTCCCCAGTGAGATAAAAATCCCTTCCTTTATACTGAGGGAACCTTTTCAGCCAATTGTGTAGAAATGCCAATGAATCCTCAGCTGCAAAATTAATGGATCATCGATAAATTCAAAAAAATTCCTATTCTGTAGATCAAATGAATAGGAAAGCAGAAAACTGAATTCATACCAGTCCTCTTATCACCATTGCTAATGATATCCTCTGAAGTGTTTGAATAGGAAAAACCAACACCAACTGGTGAATCCACAAAGAGAAGGTTTGCCACTGCGAATCACATAACAAATGAAAAATGTTTCGTCATATCCTGAAACTTTCAGTATTTTAATGGAAAATTAAAGACCCAATATAAAAAACATAAAATTTGAGTCTAAATTTAAACAAATAACATAATAACCATATTTACAACATGGGCATGCTCCAAAATATGAAGTAAACTTTATTTCTGATAGAGAAAATGAGATCCATAAATCCGTAACTACAAAGAAAATTTCAAAACACCTCATTTATAGAGTATGAATGTTCTTCTACCTTGATTCCATGAATCAGGGTTGAGATAAAGGGTCTTCCCATCTGGTCTAATATGAAAAGGCCCAATTTCTTCTGCCTCCCCATAGGCTATCGACGAACATCCGGGTCCTAAGGGATCAAATTATCAACAAATTCAGCCCTCAACAAAATAACCCACTTCGAAAAATTCGAGAAAAAAATCACAGAAACAAAAAACAATCAATCAACATATGGGGCAACCTCCATTAAGCCACACGACCAAAGGCTTTGAAGATGGGTCATCAACCGCCTCAAAAAACCAGTAAAAGAGAGCTCTTCCGGCTTCCTTATTGACTGTAACATACCCAGAATAATGGGCGAAACTCACATCAAATGCCTGACCAGGTAGCTTAAGGACCCTGTCATTCACCTGTGAAGCCCCACGGTCCTCATCCTCAACAATGGTTCCCTTAACTTGAAGAAAAATATGCAGGTGAATCAGAAACAGAAGACAAAATGCCTTCTTTTTCATTGTTGGTGCAAACAAATAGACGAAAAAAAAGTCTGCAAAGCACCCAAGCCCTTATTAGAGAGCCTTAGAGATCAGTTTTCGCTGTCATTGTTCGTGAGGAAAACAAAACAGGGGTTCCATTTATGTGGAGTTTTTGACGGAAAAAAGACAAGCTGATGGATGATTCTTTTGAAGATGGATCTGGGATCCGAACAAAACTTTTTGGGAAAAGTTGTACCCTTTTTGGTACTTTTCCGCAACCTGTTTAAAGTTGAAAACCGTAATAAAGGGTCCAACTTTGCATTTGATAGCACCAGTGTTTTAAAACTCGTCGAGCAGGAACATAATCGGTAGTTTGGACTCGGACGTTCTTTGGTAAAGAAGGGTCTAACTTTGGATTTGATAAGGGTCCAACTTTGCATTTGATAGCATTAGTGTTGTAAACTGGTCGAGTCGGAGGTGTCGTCGATGGACGATTCTTGTGAAGTTGGATCTGGGATTCCAACAAAACTTTTTGGGAAAAGTTGTACCTTTTTTGGTACTTTTCCTCATCCTGTTTAAAGTTGAAAACCGTAATAAAGTGACCAACTTTGCATTTGATGGCACCGGTGTTTTAATACTCGTTGAGTCATAACATAATCGGTAGTTTCGACTCGGTTCATGGGTTCTTCGGTAAAGAGGGTCTCACTTTGAATTTTGTAAGGGTCCAACTTTGTATTTGATAGCACTAGTGTTTTAAAACTGGTCGAGTTGGAGGTGTCATCGAGTCTTCTTCCGTAAAAAATCGGTAGTTTCCACTCGGTCTACGGGTTCTTCGGTAAAGAAGGGTCTAACTTTGCATTTGATAAGGGTCCAACTTTGCATTTGATAGCACTAGTGTTTTAAAACTGGTCGAGTCGGAGGTGTCATCGTGTCTTCTTTTGTAAAAATCGGTACTTTTGACGCGGTCTATGGGTTCTTCAGTAAAGAAGGGTCTAACTTTGCGTTTAATAGCACTAGTGTTTTAAAACTGGTCGAGTCGGAGGTGTAAGTCTTCTTATGTAAAAATTCAATAGTTTTGACTCGAGTCGGAGGTGTAAGTCTTCTTATGTAAAAATTCAATAGTTTTGACTCGAGTCGGAGGTGTAAGTCTTCTTATGTAAAAATTCAATAGTTTCGACTCGGTCTATGGGTTCTTCGGTAAAGGGTCCAACTTTGCATTTGATTGCACTAGTGTTTAAAATCAATAATTTCGACTCGGTCTATGGGTTCTTCGGTAAAGGGTCCAACTTTGCACTTGATTGCACTAGTGTTTTAAAACTAGTCGAGTCGGAGGTGTCGTCGAGTCTTCTTCGATTCGCTCAAATTCTTCAACATCAAGACCCGAGCCTTGTTCTTTCAAGCATGGGTGTTACAATAAGTGGGTACAAAAAACTATTTATTCACATAATTTTGTTTCTTTCTCTTCGATGTAGGACTATGTGAAAAGGTAATACTTTAAAACGTTCATATATTATATATTTTGTTAACAGTTTTATTAACTATATAAGTTGCAAGTACTATATTGGTTATTGTGTGCTCTCATTGTGTGGATGGATGCGGGTTCAATTCCTCTCATTGAGGAACTATTTTTTTTCCTTTTTTTTTTGTCAAATTATTTTCTTATCAAAAAAATTAAAGGTTTTCTTGTAAAAAAAAAAAAACAGTTCTTATCAATTTCGTTATTTGTCAAAAAATTTTCTTATCAAAAAAATTAAAGGCTTATTCTAAAAAATAAAATAAAAAGGTTTTTATCAATTTCACTTTTTGTCAATTTTTTTTTTTTATCTGCAAAATAAAACTTTCGTATAAAAAAAATGAAAGGTTCTTATCAATTCCTTTTCTTGTCAAAAAATAAAAGGTTTTTGTCAAAAAAATAAAAAATAAAAAATTATTGTCAAAAAAATAAAAAGTTCTTATAAAAAAAAATACAACAAGTATTTTTGTCAAAAAAAATTCATTTCTTATTTTTGTTAAAATAAGTTCATATTTTTGTAAAAAAAACTCATTTCTTATTTTTGTAAAAAATACAAAAAGTATTTTTGTTAAAATAAGTTCATACAGAGAAAAAAAACTCAATATTCACATATTGATGAAAAAAATGAAAATTAATAATGTAGTACCCCGATTTCTTATTGAATTATTTAAAAACAACATTTATAATGAATTTTAATATTTTTTTAAAATTTTTTTAAAACTTAATCCGATCAATTCAGTTGATTTCCAATCCGAATCGTCAATTCATTGATCCGAAAGGATTTTTGGGGTGTCCAATCTGGGGCACCGATGTGCTTTTTAAACCACTTGATAGCACCATTAACGTTACTTCCCAAGCCTAACTAATAATAAAAGAAGAAGGGAAAAAAATTTCATCACATTTTTACTTTGAGTAATTAACTTCATCACACATTTTATTTGGAAAAAGTTATGGCCATGATGAAAGAGTGGTCATCGCCATGCAATCAGTGGCCTGGACGGTGATGGTGTGAGGATGAGACCTACATGTTTGATGGGACCCAATCTACAACTCTATCACACTCTCGGACGGCTTCGATTCCTTGCAATAAATGGTTTGGAACCAGTGTTTTAAATCCTGTGTTGGCGGTGACCGGTCATTTGGTTTGGGTCGGCGAACAGTTGACATGGATTGGCAAATCAGACCAATTCTCTAATGTGAGAATTTTAAAAATGAAAAGAACAAAAGATAAAAGGCTGTGGTTAGCATGCGGCTGAGCCCGCACATGTAGAAACGCATACCCCTTAATAAATTTATTTTTGAAATGGAATTCGATCTTAGATTTTAGAGAATAAATAAATTTTAATATGGAAATCATAAATATGAATAAATAAATAAAATTTGAAAACTAAAAATAATAATTATGTTAAGAAAACATTTAGACCGTTAATTTCTAATTGTTTTTAGATGGATCACCTAGCATCCATCTTTAAGATGGATGCTTTCAACCTTTGAACCACATATTGTCCAAAGGACTTAGTTTCTATGCGGACAAGCTCGCATATGCCTATTAATAAATCTATTTTTGAGATGGATTTTAAGACTTAATTTTTAAAGACACGTGATCTCTAACATGGAGATCGTGAATATGAAAACATAAATAAATTTTAAAAATTAAAAATAATAATTCTAGTAAAAACACATTTGGACCTTTAGTTTGCTTTAAGATGGAGGCTTACACTTCTTGGACTTCATATGTAGAAATGAGGTCCTGCCCTCATGAAACAATTTTCCTTGTACAAATGTGGTTAAGCCTGCATAAGACAATCCTTCAAAGATAAAATATGTGAGACAATCCTTCAAAGATAAAATATGTGGGAACCGGGTGATTTGGTGGTTTTTGAAGGCGTTAGATAAGAATAGAAGCCTAGACCTTAATTGGGACATAAGTAATGCTATCACCACAACCCCAACCCCATTCTCGAGTTCCATAGCACTTTGAGTCCTCACAATGAGCGATCCAGAAGTAACAGTTCGAAACCACTTTCAATC